TGAGAAGACAGCTTCAGCATGATGGCTTCGAGCGGGCTTGTTGGAAGCTTCACACAGGGTTCATAAGGTTCCAGATGATAGCATGTAGATTAGTGAAGCACGATAATGCGAAAATGTCCACTCTCGGACCCCTTCCCCCTCAATCGGCGACTGCACCGCATCTGCACTGGAAAGCATCGGCACCTCACTTACACTCCTTATCCCTGAGACGGGGTAGGCGTGGCTTTTAAGCACGGCATAGGACGAGTTTCTCCTGGTGAACTCCGAAAAAGCTGCTATCTTGTTCTGTGTTAGATGTAGACATGATTACGACTGCTCCAAAATGACAATATCTCACGAAAACCTGGGCCGCCGCCATTTTAAAATCAAGTACGCAGCCACGCCTACCCGATCTCAGGGATTTCGAGTATACTAACTATCGAGTTAAATAATCCATGCTCAGTTCGAAGTTCTCTGACATAATGTTATCCATGTTTTGAGGGTTACTGAGACCACTAGCAATTATCCAACAGTCGCATCTGACCCTGTCCCTCGTCGCGTGCCCATCAAAACGTCCCCGCAGGTCCTTTTTGAAGGCATCTCCTTGTGTGGAATTCGGCGTCGACATCGAACGAGGCGAGCCCCACCATTCATCTTCCTTCACTATAGCAGCGATGGTTTTCTAACGACGATTGCAAGCTACAATTAGTTTTAAATGCGCCTGAAAGGTACCCATTAACTCACTTTATCCTACCGTATTCGTCTAAGCGGCGCCCGACTACGTTGATGACGTATTTGAATTGTGTCTGAGAAGTTCGAACTGAAAAACATCCAAAAAATTGCCCCTTACTGATGTTATGTTCCCTGAGCTTGTCAACGGACTTCCGTATATCCTAATCCCTTAATAGAGCATTGTTACGTCTATGAAAGATATACTGTACCCGGGGATTAGCGAAGATTAACAATAACTCTCGTTCGTCTTGGTAACGCGACACTAATCGATGCCAAATTGCGAACGGGGAATACGGTGGTACTGGTGCTTGCGCATGTGGTCCCTGGGACTGAGCTGGCTGCTGCTGCTTTGGCTGGTGATTGATGCGACAGTAATGACCTTGAAGTTCGTGCTTGTCCTTTTCGATTACGTCATCATGCACTTCGACGACAGTCGATACATCAACTGTGATGAATAGGTTACTTGTCAGCGGAAGTTACATCCAGGTTGAGTCCAGGTCTGGGTAACCACCCCCCCCCCATCCCCGGAAACATGTGGTGGTAGTAGTAACGATGGTACCCCGGACCTTCGTGGCTGTTTCATGTCGTGGGCCCAGTCAACCCAGCTATTACGGATTTCACACACCATTGACCGCTACAAACGATCGCGCAGGTGTCCACCCTAGCACACGGATGTGTTGTTAAAAACAGACTTCCGTCATTTCTTTGACTTCCTAGGAAAAAGCAGGGCTCATTGTCGCTGCGGGATTCACAAGGGAGGCGGGGGGGGTCTTATCTGGCCGCTGGCGAGGAGCACCAGGATACGGTATTTCACCTCGAATGAAGTTTTTTCCCCACATAACTCCTGCCATACAACGTTGCTCTACAGCGCAGGGTCGGAGGAAATAGAGAGTTTGCTGACTGTGAAGGAGGCGAAGGGGGGGGGGTCGTACCGATGAGAAAACTTGATGGGGGAAGGGTGTCATGTAGGGGGTGTCATGCTTTGCAAAATATTTATGGTGTACAGTCTTGATCGCTGCGGATGCTGCGCCGTGGCAAAGGGAGGGGGGCTCTGTCTTGCACGACGCCAGCCCAGCCCGGCTCCCAAATGCTGTCTCTTGCCCTCTTCAACAAATGGTTGTGCACGGGCTGACGCAGCGCTAAAGCCCACCCCCCCCCAACACGTCCTGGCATCCGCAGCGAACAGGATTCTACCCTGGTAAGAAGTTTCTGGACCCTGAGAAGAAGAGGGATTTAGAGAGATTCCAGAATTTGTAAGCCGCTAGCTCAGAAAA